GAGCAACGGTCTATGGAACGAAAGTTAAATCCGACTCCGTGATTAAAAAAATAAACCGATTACGCGAAATCCAAATTTTGTACGCCCACGTGAACATCTGTGGCGTCGCGCGACTGATCGGAACATGATGAATCGTTGTAGATAATCCGACAGTTTTATCCTGCATCCTATTTGCCGCGGCGATCCATACAAAAAGGGAACTCGCGCCTCTCGCGTTCTCTCACGCGGCCACTCTTTGATGTATAGTATACCCCACGGCTCGTTGAATTCGTTTAATTCCCGTCTCGTTTATTTCGGCTCAATTTTTTCCACGCCGCTATTTCGAAGCGGTCGATCCCCCGCTGCTGTGGAAGGGAAAGAGGATGCGTGCACCATCTGACATCCATACATAGCGTACATTTTGATACGAATGCAATCTCGTGTCAATCCTAACGCGTTTCCCTTCCACCTCCCATCCCATCAGGAGAACGCATTCCGGCAGCAAACGCGGGCTAGAGAGGATATGGTCAACGTAATGCCATAAATATTAATTCACGCGATACACATCAACGCAGCGAGATATGGAACGTGATTTACCGGAAGCGATAGTTTATGGCAGCGACACGATGCGTCAGGATCCGATCCAGGTCGTCGCCACAGGTGGCGACTCCCTAGACACTCATTTCGCGTTATACATTTTCATATTTCGCACCGACGTAATTATTACCTTTCAGTTATTCGCGTTTATTCATGCACATCGTGTTTAATCTCGGGAAAGATTGACCTAGAAATGTGTTGAACCGCAGACTCTTGTCCGAATTACCGCTTCGACGTATTGACGCGACAATTTAAATAATATTTATTATAATCGAATTTACGATAAGCAAACTTGAGAGTTTTTTGTCAAAATTCTGCGACTCGATACTCGCGATAATTAAACTTTTTGTTAAACAAGTTTCTGGATGATTACTTCGACCAGAAGGATATGCGCATTCAGGAACTTTCGATGACCTGGAGGAATTCCATTTAGATTATAGTCCGCCACTTTGGAGACTAGATTCTGAATTTGCTGTGTATATCGTAGGAATATCCGCCAGCTGATTAAACCAAGCCCGCTGCGTCTCTCGGGACATTCGAGATCCATAAAGCCGTTTCTACACCTTCCGGGCGTTCATTATGTGAATTGATACGGGCTTCCGAAACCATCGCGACATTAAAATCTCACAGGGGGTTTGATTAAACGCGAAACGGAAATAGTCGTTACGTACGGTAACAACTTCATATCCTGTATATTTAATAGAAAAAAAAAAAGAAAGAAAATCAAGATATAAAAAGAAAATCCAAAGTGAAGTGCGGCACCTTCTCGCAGTTCCGGCAGTTTTCGCAATTCCTGGTTAATTCGTTCGGAAGAAAAGTCGTAGCACAACACCTTGCGCTATTGCCAGTCTTTCTCCTAGTATACGCTGTAGTTACCAAACTCCGAAAAGGAGGACGAGGGAGAACGGTGCGAAGAGACAGAGGATAAAACAGGCGAGGGACCGCCGAACTAATCAGACTCGACCAATCCGAGTCGTTTTCCCCGTGGAGGAGAGAGATGCTTCCTCCCGGTGGACAGGATAATTTAAACTTTCCCGCAAGCGCGGCTTGACGCGGCGCCGTCGTTTATGTATTTCGGTCATTTCGTTAAACAGAATTAGATACGAGCGTTAGATTCAAACGTTACCACTGCGAAAATGAGCGACCTGAAACCTCCCAGGTACATATACAACTGCGCGAACACGAAATGAGTCGTCGAGAGTCCTTCGCGGGAATAGAGCGCAATTGAATAACATTATTAGGGCAATGATGTTTGAGTGAAGATTTAAGCTTTCCGCGACGACGGAGCTAGATGAAATGCGTTATCGTTACACGGTGCAACGAAATACCGTGTCAATTTTCTATATAAGAGCAATATATTCTTTATCTAATGTACAGCCGTAAATACGTAAATATTTTCAGCTTATATAAAATTTACATATTTGTATAAATTTTCTTTAACTTCCTTTGACAATCAGGAAATTTACGTCAAAAGTTTAGAATAATTTGTATGAATATTTTACATAAGCCGAGAATATTATAACCGCTCGTATAATGCAAATGTTTTCGACACAAGTCATATAAATGGAAACAATTATATTAATTAGTATATATGATAAAACGAAATGACGCGAGATAAAAGTGCGTTCAAGTTTTTAATGCATGTAAATTGCATGAAAGGAAAACTGGGAAAAATTTAGAGAACTCAATCCTCGAATATAATCAGAGAACGCCCACTCGGTAGTGAGAGAAACGCGGATGAGAGGGCGACGAAAAATAATCGAGTTGTTTCCGGCGCGTTGTTGTTTCATTCGCGCGACAGAATAATCTAAACTCTCGGCAAAACGGCGAACATCATTCGGCCTTAATTACGACGCGAGTGGAAAGAGACAGAGACCAGATCGCGTCAGAGCGTCACACGCTTCCTATCGCGGATACGAAACAAAACCTCGATTTTGCCGGTAATTACGGAAGACTCTTCTGTGCGCCGTTCAAATTAAGCCATCTGCCAGGGGATGAATCGGCCGCGCGTACAACGGGATTTATCGCCGCTTTTGACGTTCGATTAATTCGCCCACCCAACGTGGGCACACCGGCTTATCGCGAATCTGAATAAAGCTCCGTTACACTGAGGTAAAGACCGCGGCACAAAAGATGAATCAAGCGCGAGAGGAGAGAATCATGAGTTTAATAGTATTTGGTAATACTTTATACACTTTAAAAGCTAGACTTATTTATGTAAAGTCAATCTGCAATACTTTTGCGATATATGTATGTACGTTTTTTTACAAAGACAATTTATTTTCATTATAATATTGTATTATATAGGTATATTAATATATTATAATTTCCCTCCTCAATTGTTGTAAGAGATTAATATTTTTTGGATATACTTTCTGTGCACTGTATAAAGTATTGAATGTTCAATTAAGCCAATCCGCGATTTCGCCACGATTGTGAAGGCTCGTCTGCGAAGTAATGTCGCGATCGCGCGAACGAACGTGCTACAGTGCGAGACGCTTCAGAAACGAGCTAAAAATTCAGCGATGCCATTGCAAGGGAAACGGACGCAATTCAATTCTCTGGGGAAAAAGAGAGAGAAAGAAAGAGCGACGAGCGATTTACTCTTGAACGGCAGCGGGGAAGGATACGGTATGTTCCCTTTGATGAGGACATCCGTACGGGCCGTGGGCGTAAAAAGGACAGTTCTCTCTTCTCTCGTCGGTATTCCAGCCGCTAACGGAATATATTACTTTCTAACGAGTCGCTACGAGAAACGTCCTTGGTTCCGCATGCGTCGGATAAATAGCGAATTTTCAGTAAAGCGCGAATTCCGACTCAAGAAATCGGCAGAATAGAGTTATCGGGGCGCGATTGATGGCGACGACTACGAATCGGTACAAACGATTCAATTTGAATAAAATCACGTGCTGCACATTACCGTGTATGCGAAACGTTATAAATGTGTGTGGCGCAGGAAAAAATCCGCAATCAAATATAAAAAAAATAGAAAAAAAAATCGGCAAATCGATTAATAGCAATCCGAATTAGGATTGGATAGGACATGTGTGTTTACACGCGGTACAGACAAAATTCGATTGTTTTTTTGAAAGAGTAATGTCACAAGCTCGAATAAAAACTGAAAGCCAACGGAAATAATTTGTGCGCCGCCGGTCGGTCGTGTATTTTTTAGCGGTTGAACGCGAACATGGCCGAAAGTCGGAAAAATTGGCGCGTTTTAGCGACGGGAAAAGATAGCGGGTTCCAACTGGGCTGCGAACGAGCATGCGAAAAGCCGCTAACGCTTCAATTTTCTTCTATGAAGCCCTGACCGACCGTAAAACGCGAGCGGCCGTTTGTACGGGCGTAATGTACCGATAAAGCACTCACAGGGGCTTGTCACGAAATCTGTAACATTTTCTCGTCGGACGCGCCATTTCACGCTGAGCAGAGTGCGCGATCAGCACAGTCGAACAGTTTTTAGGGCTCATGTGGAATTACGGCGGACGAATAACGCCAAATACCGCGGCCATATCGTAATCTCAACGTGCAATTTGTACAACCACCATCCCCGATTGCCAAATGCGCCGCGAGTTCTGCCTGCGCTCGATCGAAAATGCATACAATGCACCCCACGATGGAGAGAACGAAGTAACAAAAGCACGTGCTAAATTAAACGATGTACCATAATCGCGCGCTTTAATGTCTTTATTTTCGTACGATTCGTGTCGGTTAATGAAACCGAATGTACCGAATGAACCATCCGTTTGTCCCGTGTCCACCTGAATTCGCGGAACTTCGTTCTCGTTAATCGAGAAGCTTACGCCAATTACGCTAATGAGCGGCACCGAAAATATAGCACAAACGGTCAAGGGTATTAGCACTCGCGTTTGGTTCGAACGTACTTTCGAATCAAATTTTATGTCTACGAAAGCCGGCAAATCGATTTCGGTATCTGCATTCTTTATCGCACGCCGAATTATACATACATACGTTCGATTATATAACACGATTCGCGCGCATGCGGTGCAAATAGCGCGTGGGCGCGCTCAAAATCGTGGCACTCGTGATGAATAATAAACATTATAATAATAATAATTACGATAATATTATTTTATGTTAATACAGTGATAATAAATGTAATTAATATTACAACGTAAACATAATTCATACAACGCAAATAATCGAATATAAACATTCTTGGCATATATCAACAGAATAATAACATAATATTATATTATAATATTATTATCTGCTCTAAAATGGAATTTTTGTTCAAGATTGCCAATCAACGAAATTTATTACGTTCAAAATATTATTACATTGATAATGTGAAAGAGAGTGATAATTCTTCAAAGTAAATTTTATATCTATATTTTTTCAGAAAAAAGAAAGTGAGTACTCTTGCTTTTATTATAATCATATTTTTAGTAAAAGACACTCACCTCCTCTCGGAGACTCCGTAGGTCCAGGCCGTTGTCTTAAACCTGCAACAAAATAAGAAAAGAATCGTTTTAAATTGATTTTATATACGCATTAAGCGTAGAAAAAAATATTGCGATATACGAATTAATATCGTTTGCATTAAGAAATAAGATATTGTGCAAAACAGTTTAGTGAAACGTCGACAAATTTATTTACGGCAAGGCAAAACATTTTGGTTAGTCAGCAGTATACGTGTTCTGTGGTTTTACTTTGTAAACGTTCGCACTATCAATTCCGTAGTCCGATAAAATATTTATTTTTTATGGTACAATTTTTGCGCGCGCGCATGTGAAATACAGTAATATACAAATAACTTGTTCTACTTTCACATGCCTTATTATTTAAAATATTTTTAATTGTGAAATTTAACTTACTCTGCGATCGTTGAAATCTCAATGTCTTAAATGAGAAATATTAATTTTGATATCAATTTGTTATAACATTATTTAAAGTTACTTCATTGTTTTACTGATATATATATTTATTAAAAAATTGACGTTTTGAAATCTACACTGGCTCTTCTTGTTTATTGAGAGTGAAGAAACTTCCTATATAATTTTTATTAAAAATATTCCGTATATAATGAATTTTAATGTAATTATTTTATATTGATATTATAATAAATATATATATCCTTATTAAAATAAATTATTTAAAAATCAAGAAAACAGTTACTTCAAAATGATATCAATTGATCGCAAGAAAAAAATACAAATTTATTCATGCTTAGATCAAAATGCAGTTTAATAGTTAAAGATTAATCGTATAAAATGTGTATTTTTTCATCTGTTTGTTTTCAAATATAAAAAATAACTATATTTGTGTTTGAAATACCACAAAATCGCATCCCTGACCGGTACATCGCAGTTCCGACATTTTCCGCCATTGTTACTGGCCGAAACTGCTAAACCAATTGGTCGGGGCCAGCGTGGAGGTACAATCTAAACTTTCGAATTCTACGAGTTGCAGCCCTTGAGGCCCTCGTGAATGCAATAGCATTCTCACGGTCCTTTCCTAGATTGCGTGTGCAACTAAATTCATTTTACGAATTATTCGAAAATTACCACACGAAGATCAACAAATTAACTGCTACATTAATTTGTATACGAAATAAACGATTTATCGATGCTTTTTCTAATTAATCATTTTAGAAAATTTCGATTGAGATTGTGATGTGAAATGCATAAAAGACAAGAAACAGTCTTTTCTGTTATTCTATAAAATATATATTATATATATATATATATTAATTTATAAAAATTGATAACATTTTTTCTTGAAAAAAAAACGAAATTATTTTACGAAGCTTTCTTTTGCTAAAAATATCAAACATTTAAATTCTATTACTTTTCGTAAATAGAAACTTTTTTGTTTCTTTAATTTTTAAGAAAAAAATTGTCGAAGAAATTGCGATGAATAGCAGACTGATTTACGGATTTACATAATCCCTTATTTCTCAGACATCGTGAAAAGCATATATTTTTCTAAACCGCCTCATGCAAATCTTTTTAAAGAGAAACAAAATATTCTGCACATGTTCGCTTCCCGCTCGTTACTTGAAGAGGTTGAATGTAAGAAGGAAAGTACTTGCAATCCTATCAGCATATAAGATCACCACTCGTAACTTTTTTATATCGTATACTTCAATTTGATTTTTTTTAACTTATTTATGTGTTATACAATCAAGACAACTTGTAACATAACAAATTAAACTTTATTTGATATTGCTGTTCTCTTTAATCAAGAACTGATTTGTTAAATAAAAAAATATTTTAATTTGAAGAATGTCACTAAAATAAAAAAGTAATTTTAAATAAAGATTAGTCCTTTATTTTTCTCGTTTATAATCAAATTTTGTTTCGAAATTAATTGATAAGAATTTTATTCATTTCAAGAGAAAAAGATTTGATTACAAAAAATGCATTTTTAATTATATTTAAATATATACATGTATGTGTTATATATGAAAAAGGAATTTTTAAACAAAATGCACAATATTTAATGCATAAATTCCTGTCAATTTAGCAATCAATTAAAATAATAATCATTTATTTAAGCTAATACGGTATAAAATTTGTTAACAGAGAATAGTCTTTTGTAAATCCAAATATATGTGCAATATATTCGCAATGAAACTGTTGAAACAAAGTTTGATAATGCGATTCAATTAATTTTAATTTAAACTGGATGTAGTCATGTACTCCGCTTTAATATTCGAGTTGTGCATTCTGGCAATATAACTGGCGAAAGGAAGCCTTCCAATGCTTTAGTACACCTTAGTCACTTGGGATTAAATGTTTACACGCTTCTCTCTGGATAATCCTAAATAATCACATGCAATGAACGAAAGCAAAGATTGGTTCTACAAAACTGTTTCTGCAAAGCACTATTTACACGGCTATTTTACAGTTTATTTAAAAAGGCAATTTTTTCAAATGTATTATACTATATTTGATCTTTCTTATTTTATCATATTAAATTTTTCGATTTATTTTATCATATTGTATTCTTTTATATATTATCAATAGCAATAGAAAGAAGAAAAATCACAAAATCAAATTTTTTTGAAAAAGAACATGATTAAAAATTACCACACACACACACACACACACACATACACAATTAAAACTGCTTTTTCATTTTACATAATGAATGGCTTTCCTTACTTTGAATGATTCTCGTTTGTAATCATCAAAATTGAACCGTGTAAATTAACCTGGAAGAAAGAGATAACCACCGGCCCACATTCGAACTTTATCTGCTTTTGAGTTCGACATCAATGGTAGAGCTCGGCTCGAGTCGCCGAATTACAAATCCGACATAGAGCACCGGGATAAAGACAACGAATCCCTCGCGCGAAAAACGAAGGTAGTAAGAGCAAGCGGGAAAGAGGAGAGAAAAGAGAAAAGCGAAACGAATGTATTTCAATCACGCCCGTTTTCAGCCGCGCCACCGGAGTTTCAGGAAACTTTCGCTACTCGGCTTCGTCCAGCTGACTGAGTTTTTCGAAGCGACTATAGCTATAGAGAGTGGACGATAGTTCAACGAGTATGCACGGTGTTGCACTCGGGTTCTGATCGATAAGCTTCTTTTGCTTGAAATGGAAAACTTGAAAAAGGGCAATGTTTGGCTTTAATAAAGTGACTTTTGAAACGAACGTATTGTCATCTTAAAGACAGCGGAAACTTTATACATTTTACAGTCGCTTTGCCGCGAAAATCGCTTTTCTACAAAAACATCAATACATCTCTCGTCAATCCTAAGAAATGCAATCATTTATTTTGAATTAAAATATAAGTTTTTTTTTACTTTCTTAATGTTAGTTTAATTTCATAATGTACTTAAAAGTTGATTCGTTTTCTTAGAAAGGTTTTAAATGTCAAATCCACTATAAGCTGTGTGAGCGCCAACATATGTATTAGTATTTGTATTTTGTAACATTTCACTTGAAAATTTATTTTATAAAGTGAATTTAATGTCGAGACAAAACAGGATAAGTAAGTACATAAGTACGTTAACGGAGTTAAACATTATTTATTTACAATGCCTCGTTATTACGAGATTACTGAACATTGGAATGGGGCTTGTATTATGTACGTGCTGCATGAGAAGGCTCAAAGTTTTATCCAATTAATCGCCAATCTTTAGCTGAGGGAGAGCTGAATGAACGCTGTGACTAATACCATTAGGAGTAACCTAATAAATACTGCTGCAAGTGTACTGCAAATATTTTATAATACAAATATTTGTATTAATATCGTTATTTGTATGCTTAATTAACTGTTACTTCCGTGCAATTAAGATTGTACAACTACTTATCAATACATTATTTATATATAGCGAAATATACCAAGAAATGTATCGGAGAAAAAATGCATAACTCTAACAGTACGTTGTAATGTTACGTAATTAAACGAATCGCATCTAATAATAATAAACTTTAATTGCAATGAGGTAATGTTGCAAATGCGATTACGAAAAACTAATAATTATTTTTTCATAAAGATGAAAAAAAGCACCTTTCATGAAAGTATAAGAGTTGCATTCAATTGCTTCTTATGCCATTTACTCTCCTTGTATATACATAGCACAAAATAATCAGCGTCCGTGAAAGAGATATCGCTCCCTCGATCGCACTCGACTCACTCTCTCCACATATCGCGCACCTGCTAGTACAATCGATCCTAAAACAATCGAGAGCCCGAAGTTTCGCTTCCGTAAATCCGAACCGGAAACGAAAGAACGTACCGGCGCGGCGATGATGAATCGATCGCCGTTCCTGCGATTTACGACGCTGGGCTCGAACCAATCGCCGAGACTCGAACTCATTCGAGAACGTACGTACGTATGTGAACGCTGATCGATCATCGCGGAAGTAACAACGAGGAAGAGAAACGCGGCGGTTATATCCGTGGAAAAAGATCACGTGGATCACGCGAGATCTGCGAAAAAACGGTGAAAAACGTTCTCATCGCGACGACCTCGAAGACGGTGAGGACAGTCGATGGCGGCCATCCATAGAGGTAAAGCTCGCTGCTACCGACATATCGCGCGACGTATGTACATTCAAACGACAATATGTATCGCGCGTATGTATGTATGAGTGAGGTTGTAAGTTCCGCGAGAGAAGTGAGAAAGATAAGGAGAACGTGGGTAGACTCGCGTTGCTCGTAGCGCCGATAAGAGATCGCACCCAACTTCAACCCCGCGTTTGCACCCCTCCGGTGGCGTCAACCCTCATGGAGGATCGAAATAGAGAGAGAGAGAGAGGGGCGAATGATATTCTCGGGATGGTTCCTCAACGCTCTCCTGAAGCCGTAAAATATTTCACGTATATGCGCGACGATAGATACACGCCGTTTCCAAGTATGATGACCGTACTTTGCGAGCCGATATACCGGAAAAGAGACTCGCGTTTTGTTTTACGAGATCGCTACCAGCGATGTTCGACCACGTTTCGCTCATGCCGCACCGTTCGATTTATCGTTATTATTCGAGGGAT